GAAGCCTAATTAGCAATTTAGAGGTTCCGACAAGCAGTAACTACAAGCATGACCGTCTAATGTCTCATAAGCACACGACCGGCTCGTAGTTCGCATTGCCGAATTGCCACCTGGATGTGACACTCACACGGATACAAACAGCAAACGGCGATACGCAAAGCTCACCACCGAAGACCCAACTGGCGGCGAAAGTATACATGCGATAGCATACTTCAACCGCGCCGTTCATGAGGCGGCCCAACCACCCAAACCTATTCCTTTTAGGGTTTAGGGCCTAAGCTTTAAAATATACATATATCTTTATAAGAGGATGGAATATTCCCCTTAAACGCTTTTTGTCGGTAAAATGGAGGGGCGCCCAAAACCATCGAATTCAGTACTAAAAAATCGCATTTTTAATTACGGGTCTGGCAAATCCTGGGCTTCCGGCTTTTCGGGAGTCTTTTTGAAGCCTTTTGGTGGCTTTTAAAGCCTTTTGGCAGCCCTTGCTTCCTGGTGCTTTCCTGGCCATTTTGGGGATAAAAAAGCAGGGGCAGATTTCAGTTCTAAAAAATCTCATTTTTAATGGCGGGTCTGGCAAATCCTGGGCTTCCGGCTTTTTGGGAGGCTTTTTGAAGCCTCTTGGTCTTTTGGTAGCCCTTGCTTCCTGGGGCTTTCCTGGCAATTTTGGGGATAAGAAGGCGCCCAAACCGTCGATTTCAGTTCTAAAAATCGCATTTTAAATTGCGGGTCTGGCAAATCCTGGGCTTCCGGCTTTTTGGGAGTTGGTAGCCCTTGGGCTTCCTTGGCCCTTTTGGGATAAAATGGAGGGGTGCCCAAAACCATCGAATTCAGTACTAAAAAAAACGCATTTTTAATTACGGGTCTGGCAAATCCTGAACTTCCGGCTTTTTGGGAGGCTTTTTGAAGCCTTTTGGTGGCTGTTAAAGCCTTTTGGTAGCCCTTGAGGGCTTTTTGGTGCTTTCCTGGCCCTTTTGGGGATAATTGATGGGCGCCCAAAACCATCGATTTCAGTACTAAAAAATCGTAAAAATAGCGGGTCTGGCAAATCCTGGGCTTCTGGCTTTTTGCGAGGCCTTTTTGAAGGCAAACTTTCCATTTCAAGTGGGGTCGGAGTTTGAGGCAAGGGGGGGTCTCCAAAGACTATTTTGCCTTTAAAATTGAAAAATGCGACCCCCCCTTGACCAAAACTAGGCTGTGAAAAGGTCGCGGGGGCGGCCCTTCATCAGAATTGAGGGCTAAAAACCCTCGTGCAAAGCACTGTTTTGTAAACGTGTTAATCACGGGCACTTACTAAGTGACTTGCCGTCATCAACGCTCCGTCAAAGTGCTCATACTTGCCATACCATTCTTCAAGCTGTCGATGGAACTGTGTACGCACCCCTCCGCCTTCTATCATTGCAACTGCGCTTGTGAAGGGCAGAGGAGTTTGTTGGCCCTGTCACTTCCTAGGGTGATGCAGGGTTTGGGGTTCGTTTTTTGCCGGCTGTCCCGGAATATGCTCTCGAGCTCACCAAGCTTCCCTTTCGCAGAAAGGACTAAACAGGCAAGAGACGCCCAAATGCGTTTTTCGTAACTGCAGAAATACATTCAGCCCTGTTTTGTACTCCGAAAGACCAGCATGGGCTCCTGAAGATGCATTTGGCCACGAAGCCTATGTTTGCAAGAGATGGCACTATTCTGGATCTCCTGCAAACAAAAATTTGCCCACACAGGTGAATGCACACAACCGCATTTCAGGCCCTGGTTCCGCCCAAAGGTGCCACTGAGTTCCCTTGTGCCCAAAAAGTGTTTTTCGCGCGTGCATATTTACACTCAGATCTCCTGCAGAGAATCCCGCAGTACTGGGCGCGCCGATGGCCCCGGGGCCAACGCCAAGAGATCACTACCGACCACGGGTTAAAAGGAAGATCGGCAGCAACTGCTCAGCATCGGCGAAGCGCACTGCTGAGACTCCGACATCCGTCACAAATATCTGCTTATCCAATGCGTTCTTGTGTGACTCTGCCACCTTGGGACAAGCGCAAGATTAGAGCGAGCAAGCCTACGAGCGTTTCTCATGGCGTTCCCCGCAGCTTCAGAAGGAAGCTGTGTGCTGGGCCCTAGAAAGTTCCGGCTGCGAGGCAGCTGGATGACACAGCTGCCAAGCCACCTGCAGCTGAAAAGAATCCGCACGATCACGGGCTGCCAATGTTGATCCAGGCTCGGTGCGACAAGTAAGGCGTTCGTCGCTGCAACTCCTCCGAACATGCTTGGCCTTGGGTCCACTTTGGTCCAGTGTCGCCAGCTCCGTCACTGTATATATGTTCTGCACGAATGTGTTTTGTAAGGCGGCAGCGCAGACTCTAGTGAAATCTCCTGCCATCCAATGCTTCCAAAGAACAGCGACAGCTTGCTACAACGCTGTAACAAGTGCCTTCAAATCCTAGACCGAACTGATCCAAACTACCCAGCCTCCCTGTGCACGTCGTTGGAACCCATCGTGGGGTTGAGTGATCCAGAAACTCAGTCAGCACTGCAACAGTGGAACTCAAGTGATAACCTGCGAGATGCAAACATATGTTGATCTCTGAGGCCGGTTGCACAGGTGCCGTTGGCCAAAGAGTCTGGCCGACATCACCTCAACCCAACTCATCTACAAAAACGACACTCCTCACTGCGTAAAATGAAGCACGCGTGGCCTTGATCTCCACGCTAGGGGGCCTTGTGCCAACGAGGTCAACGTCGAGCTCCATCTGCGGCAGGCAGCTCCAGGCAAGCACCACGGGCACTTTGTCATGAGGCCGAAACGTTGAAATCCCACACGGGGTACTCAGACGCCAGCGCAACCTCAAGTCGTCCCGACACGAAGTTACCAACGCGTTGTCTTGCATGCTCTGTTGGGCTTCGCAGGATTGGGCTGCTCAGGGCACGACTGGGCTGACATGCTTCTCCCGTCGCATGGAACTTACCTGCGTGATCACCTGGCTTCTCCATACCGTTCCAGACTATTCAGACTTTTCATGACTTACAGCAAGAGATGTTTTATCAAACATTGGTCTCGCAAGCGTCGCCTCGACCAGTGTAGCTTCTGCAGGCATGTCCTTTACTGGAATGCCACCATGGCTTCTACAACACTTCCCAGTGAGATCGATTCCACTGCAGTCCCACAAGCAGTCCTTGCCGTGATGCACACACAGGCGCCATTTGCATTTCGTGATGGCGCTGGCATGTCGTACACTTCTCAGTCAACACGCAGTTCAAAGTTCAGAAATCGCAGCGCATTAGCAAATTTAGCCTGCTGAAGCACTGTCGGACTCCTTCAGGACAATCCCGGACAGTGGAATTGCTTGCATGCATCCTATGCATCCAAAGCCCCCCCCCCCCCCGGAGAAAAACAAAAAGAAACAGAAGACCAGTCTTAGAAAACCTCTTCTTCTTACAGTCGTAGAAAACGAAGAGCGCTGAGAGAGCCCTCCTTCATACTTACAGAGAGAGAGAGAGAGTGAGCACTGCTTTCATTTCAAAACATGTCTGGAAGACGATGGGTCGACTTTGGGTCTTGTCCTCGGTGCCACTGCCATGAGAACTCGATTGAGCTTCTCAAAACAAGCGGTGGGATTTGTGCGGGGTGCCCGGAATTTTCCATCGGAATATTTTCGCAACAGGGTCGTGGAAGACCTGACCTGTGTGGACCATGTCTGTCTCGGGGCCCGGCTGAGCAGCGTCCTGGAATGAGCAATGACGAGTAAGCTCGAGTAAGATTGGGCAAGCACCAAAACCGTGGGGTCTAGGTTCAAAATGGTGGGGATGCCACAGAGCTGGCTGAGATCTCTGAGAATCAAACTCGACCGCCCATTTCTGGTGGCTCATCAGACTGACGTGGTGACGCGGTGCCAAGAACAGTCCAACGGGCAGCCACGCCGAGCAGCGCTCTCACTCTTTTCGACTTTCGAACAGGCCTGGCCAAATATCCCCTCCGATATCCGTCCTGGAAGTGTTCACTTGAATGGAAAAAGCTAACAAGACAAGAGAATTCGTAACTTGGCTCTTGGTTTGAAGTGTCCTGCAGCGTTCCCGACTGCATTCCGCGACATATCCGCAAAGTCGCTTACTGCATTGAGGGCCTGCATTGGTACCACTCGGCACGACCCAAACTAGCTCAAACAAGCTCACGATCCACTCAAAATGGTCCTGCAAGCGCTAGACTAAAAGTGTTCAGCCAATAGACTGCTAGATCAAAGCTAGATCAGAGCAAACCTCAAGATCACGAAGATCACAGGCTTTCCCTACAGAACACTGGTCGAGATTCCAACTTCTTCATTAATTTTCGTTGGCATGTTGCTGGCCTCCATTTGCCGCCATGGACTGACACTCGCCATAGACATGGCCTGAATCACACGTTAACCGTTTGAGATTCTATGAGATACAGTACCATCATCAGCTTGCTGGAAGCCAGCCTGCATCTTGTGGCCAGGGGCGGGCCAAACGCTTACAGCTGGTGCTTTCAAGGTCGATGATCAAGTCTGTTTTTTGCAATGTGTCAACTGTGCCAGGAGAAAGGTGACGCTGGGCTGCGAAGGCAAGACTATAAGACACTATTCTTAATCAGTATCTGGCTGGTACAACTATTAATGTACTATTAATACTTTGTTGAGCCGCGGACGCTCTGACGAAGATGTGGTGTTCACATTCCCTGCGCGTGCGCGCACGCACATGATACCCTGTGCGGCTGTGACTTTTTGCTGAAGTATGTTGGACACTTTGCCAAACTTCTCGGACACTGGGTTGGCAGATTTCAGCCTGGGCCACACATTGGCGACCAATTTGAGTCAGCCCGAAGCCGACAACTGAGCAATTACGGGCTCAGTTCTTTTCAAGGATGCACGAACTAGCTACGATGAGGTCATCCCGGTAGTGGGAGAGCCCAGCCTGCCTTGACGTCGCGTCTCGATCTGCGCGTAAAGATGCCTTGAAGCAATCCGCCATGAGCTCGTCAGCTCGTCAGCTCGTCGGCTCTCTCACACCACTAGCCGAACCATCTCGCCTCCCTCGCCTCCCTCCCACGTGCCCCACATATCACGCCTCAACAAGGGCGGCACACGCCGAAGCCACAACACCACTGCAAGGCTAGAAACCGACGTCGCCGTCGCAGCCAGGGACAGAAGTGCCAAATGATGCCACTTGGATGCCTGTAGGTGAAGCTCCCCGTCCTCATGTTCCTCAAACATGCCAAAAGGCTTGAACAGGGAACCCAGGCCTTGTTCCAATCCCTTCGTGTCAGCCTTGGTACTGGTGGTGGTGGTGGTGCCAGTTGTACCAGTGGTGCCGACGGTCGAGTGACCGTGTGAAGCAGCTTGCATAAGTGGATCTACCGACAGGCCTCCAGGGATTCCAAGCCTGATAGGCGTGAAACTTGGAGGCAAAACCGCCTGACTGGATGCGGGTGCGGGGCTCGCTGTCGGCTTCACTGTACTTTCGCGGGCCGCCACAGGTGCGACCGTCGTCGCTAGCAGGGAGGCTGTGGTGGTCAGTGGTCGAGTCGAAGAGACTCGCAGAGGTGACACGAGCGATGCAAATGGATTGAGGGGTGCGGGTGGGGGATCCTGGTTCAAGGGATTCAGAGGATTGGCTGTGGTCTTTGCCAGAAAAGCCTTCGTTGTCGTTGGATTCGTTGGTCGCGTCGAAGTTGTCTGCGGAGCCACCGATGCAAAGGGATTAAGAGGTGCCGCTGGAGCGTCCCGCTTCAGCGGATGGAGTGGAAGGCTCTTGGAAGGTCCTACTAGTCCTGCTGGTCCTGCTGGTCCTGCTGGTCCAACTGGCCCCTGCTCATGCTTTACTGGCTTGTGGTCTGCAGTGCCCAGCATTATGTTGGAAGCACTTGCAGGGCCTGGAACCCACAAATGCTCAGCCGGGGGTCGGGCGGGCACTTCTGTCACAAGTGGCGCCGGCTTGGTTCTGAAGGCCTCAGGTGCCTCAGGTGCCTCAGGTGCCTCAGGTGCCTGAAAAGGAATGCTCGTGGACGGCAGAAGTGCTGCGGCTTCGGTGCCGTGTAAAGAAAGGCTGACTGCACCAAGACCGGCCAAGTACTCGTCCTCAGCTGCAAAAAGGCTCACTTCGTCACAAGATGTCGACGGTCACACGCATCTTTGCAGCGCTGTTCTGGGTGCAAGCTTCCATGGTGACTTGCCCGTTTCGGTCCACATCAACGGCGCTGAAGGACTCCTTTTGCAGGCTGTGACAATTGATGTTTTTTGCCCTTGGCACGATTCCACATCCCAGACATCTCAGAGCCTCTAAATCCGGGAGGTCCACATTGGGCTTCGCCTACGAGAATCCGTTGCAAAGACTTGTGCGGCCACTGAACCCTTCTAAACGATGATGATTCACAGAGATTCACAGAGGTTCTCAAGTTCTCACGCCTTGGCTCCAACATCGCTCGCTACCTGCAACATTATCCCTCACTGCAAACATCTGAGAACAGTTTCACTGGCTAGCGTGCATCACAAACCAGCTTCTGCTTAACAACGCCGCCGTGAAAACACAACGGCCAGTAGCCTGTAGATTGACTGCGCATTCGCTGTGAGCGAAGACCTCCAGATCCCGGGCCTGTCCAAGCCAGCCTTAGAGATACAACCGCGGTGCCCCCTGTGACACAAAACAGCCACACGACAGGAATGCAGAAAGGTGACCGCTCTGATCGGCATCGCCCTTTCCCAGCCATAAGTCCACCTTACCAAGCCGCGTTGCCGGAATTCGCGACACCTGACGTTGTTGACCGGATTAGACCACACGAGGGGAGCAGTTAGACTTCAGCTAGATGCCAGCACCGAGCTGTTCAATGTCTGAAAGTAACACGCCTGGCACATCTTCGCCAGCTTTCCATCCTGCGATGACTCTCGAAGTCTTTCCAATCTTGAGGGCTTGCATGTCTCCTGAAAAAGCCGCTGCACACCGCGCTGTGCATCGAAGACCAGGGCCACTTGCACCCATCGTCCCGTGGGAAGGGCGGCTTCCGCCTGCAAAAACCAGAGGCTGCAAAACAACAGGCTGTGACGACAGGTGACAAAGGTCTGGCGTGGAATCTGCGAATCCGCCTGGCAACTTTGCCCAAGGAACACCGACTGCAAGCTGCCACTCTGAACTGCCAAGCGAAGGCCACGCGAGGAATCTGAATCCCCCACCTGATCTGACGGACATGCCCAGTCTATTGCACCATGCCGGGAGGCACGGTAGGAATCGGTAGGACACTGGCAGCTGCCAAGATGATGCCGTCCATGGCCTAAGCCACGTTTACAGCTTGCTGATCATCTGCCCTGCCTGCTCGCGGCCTCGGATTGGAGAAGCTTCAGCTTGGCTGTGAAAGAGCCTCGTGGGGATTGCCATGCTCCAATCATCTCTCGGCATTCGGCATCGCTCTGTCAACCAATACGAGCGGAATCACGGCGCAGCCTCCATCTATGCCCAGCTTGGCAGCACGACCCAGCTTCACTTCGCCAGAAGGCCGCCCACCTGAACTCACAGACGCTGAGGCAATTAACCTGTAGAAACATACGGAAATATCAAGTATCTAACGGATGGCTTCACTCACAACACCTTGATTGAGCTGCCGGCTTAAGGTTGCAGAGCTTGTCAGTGGCATTTGGGCAAAGGTCGCGCCGATGTTCTCGGGCTCCAGGGCTTCGGGGAAGACAAAGAGAGACCTCACCCTCGCAAGCCTCAGAAGCTGCAAGATGCAGGAATTAAAGAAGTCGGAAAGTGTACCTCAGTGCAGATGTGCTGGCGAGAGGCCGGCTGTTGGCAGACGGCAGTTCACCTGCCACTACCTGACCACAACGCACGTAGGGAGGTGACCCGTGTCGCTCGTGCCACTGTGTTGCTAGAGCCGCCTGCTGGCCGAAACCTCGAAAGGGATCTACTCCCGAACAGGCCTGCCAGGTAACTTTCGCAAGTCTGAAGTCCTGTGCTGCCTAGCACACAGACTTGCGTAACCGTGATCGGGTCCATGATTTTAGTAGGTGCTGGCGCAACTTCCTGATCTTGCTCGAGTGTTTCCAGCAACTGAACTTTCAACCCCGATTACACACTTCCTGTATACTGCGAATGAAATGCTTTACCCCCAATGACGCGCCTTCATCTCCTCACCATTCATCCACAGACGCTGCTCCTGAGGGATACGTGACGACCCTAAGCACATCCAACTGGCACTTGGTGCATGTGGCGCCTTGAGCGATGCATCATAAATCCAGGCCACTTCCAACCAAGTATCCGCGGGCACCTTTCAAAGATGAAAGTACCGTACATCCAGCTCCTATGCCCACTTCACTCATATCCATCCAGACCCTCAGAACTCAAGCCGAGCTACAACGATCCCCCTGCCTTGTATGGTGTTTTGCAGACGGAGACGAGACCTCCGAAAGTGAACACCAGCTGGCCGCCTTGTGTTGCTGACATGCGGCAGATGCTGCTTAAAATGGAGCAAAGCAGAGTCCAGCAGTCCAATTGCTAAGCCACGAACCTTCCAACCCAGCAAAGAGACCTGGCCTCGCTTGGGATGGATGACAGAGATTGCCTGTCCTACATTGCCGAAAGCCCACCGAAAGACAGAGAACCACAGGTGCAGTAGCACGCTCTGTGGCTGTGATCCGTCATTTTGCAGCGCTTTGCGAAGCTCTGACATCGCGAAAATCCTTGTAACGACAAGTAGAATTCGAAGCAGGTGCTTGCCTCACTGCCGATCTGGTAGTATGGCTAAAAGAAGGAGCAGGCCGAAGGAGAACATGCATAAAAGGCAAAGGCAAGAAAGGAAAGCGCTTCCACACATCAGGTTTCTATCTTGTGCACGAAAGTATTTGTCTTGTTGGTGTCGCGTGAGGCCACTTACGCGCACGAAGAGAAAGTGACAGGAGCAAGGCGCGGCTGTGCACAGAAAACGGTCCGAGGAGGCATTTCATGCGACAGTTCCTTCATCGGAACGAAAATATCAAATTTCGCTGGGGCCCTGACTCGCGGGAGCCCGTTGTAGTTCGGAAAACAGCCTGTCTCATACTGCGACTGCAAGGCTCAACCTGAACAACTTTGAAATGGTCCGAGGCCTGGGTCAATGACGGCTCTCCTGTAAGCATCACAAGCAGGGGTTCCGAAGTTCCGAATCTTGCAGCTAAAAAGGAGTCACTCCACTGCTCTTACGGCTTGCGGGGTCCCCAGATTCGTGACAGGAGAGTGAAGCTGCCCATGACGATCCCAAGGGACTCTGCGCTGCCAAGAGCTGACCTGGACGCTGGGGCAACATGCTTTCAAAACATGACAAAAAAACATGCCTTTTTTAGTGCATGCCTTGAAAAGTCTTCTGCTGGGAAATCCATGGAATCCGGGTCTCAGAGCGCTGCCGGGTCTCAAGCTGCTCAGGATGTGTGAAGGTGTAAGGCCTGCTGTGCAAGGCTGAGGTGAGATCTGTTCTTTGTGGCACATGGTGACATAGGCACTGCATGGCACTGCCTCATCGTCTGCCACCTCTGGCAAGCTTGATCACCACCTGGCAGCACACCTGGCGTTGCTAAGCATGAGCCAGGCATGTTGCTGCGTATCTGAGAGTTCAGAACTCTGCCTTGCACAACGTAGTTGTGCATGAGTTGTCCCCACTGCCGGCGTGAGAGTCCCTCAGGAGATCGATTCTGTCTCCCGCAAGTCAATCCCAGCCGCTCGAGGCACCAGCTTGACCTTTCCCTCTGCAGGCCTGGCGTTCAACACAACAAAACCCGACAACGCCATCCGCTTTAGGCTGCACTCCTTGTGCTGCGTGACAAAGGTCATAGTCCTACATCACATGTGACATCGGACAGTGATTGAACCTTCCAGCAGTCGGACGCATCCAAACAGTGCTCAGCTGCCTGCGGGCGACATGTCGCTGCTGAGCATGCAACCATGACATTCCTGATGACATCTGATTACATGACACGGAGGTCCTCCAGGAACATGTCATGAACGAGCTCCTGCAATGTGGAAGAGTTGCCAGACGCGCACAATGCTTGTTGCTTCCCCCTAACCTGTCCTGGGCTGTGCCGAGGTGGAAGAGATGTCGGAATCTTGATGCCATGCGTAGAAATCATGAACTGGCCCAAGGAATGCATCATGGGACGCACATCAGGACCCGGCTCCGAAGGCGAGATGACCTGGAAAGATTCTCTGTCTGACTAGCACTGGCTCCTCGGACAGTACTGAGGTCAGAACATCGTCCCTGTTCTTGTCGATCAAATGGAAGGCTTCCTTCGAGAATTGGAGGCCAAGCGTGGAGCATTGTGAAGCATAAAGGAATGCTGTGAAGTCCTGCCATGGAACTCCACCCATGCCGTGGGATGGCCATGCTTGCCAGATTCCTGAATACATGAATTGATGCTCAGACTAGCTCATGAAAATTCACGAATGCGCCCTCGAGCCTTTCCACTGGTGGAATGGAACCTTGACAGGAGAGCAAAGCGCACAAGCTGACAAGCTCACCTCATGCTCACCTTTCACCAGGCCTTATGTGATCCATCAGGACTTAGGACTTGGTAGGAGCTATGTCATCTCTCTCGCTCCAAGCAGCTGCCATTGCTTGCACCCTCTCAGACTCGGCGGTGGAAAGACCTTCGAAACGTTTGACATGCATCAGTCATGCACCCCGGCCTGTTACACCAAAACCACAGGAAAGCAGCTCGTTATCTGAAGCTGCTGCTTCCGGTCGCACGGTGCAGGCCTTTCCATGCTTCCTCCTGCCAAACTCAGTCCCTGCAAGAGGCTCTAGCGGCTCTAGAGGCCCGGAGAATCACGATGCACCATAGCGCAAAAAATCTCCTCACTGTCGTAGTTCGACACCATCCAGGAAGAGAAGCTCTGCGCAGCTCTTCGGGTTCGGTGTTCATCGAAAGCTGCAGGGAAGTTTCAGAGCAGAGCAGACTCCATAAATCCTCCCTCTTTTCTGGCCTTTCCCTCTCACTTTCAACCGACTACGGCCCACGGCCCTTGCCTGCACATCCAGCGGGTACTATTGGACAATCCTCGATGCGCTCCCACGAGGACCTTCGCCCAACAGACATACAGCGAGAGAGAGAGAGAGAGGAAAGAATGAATGAATGAATGAAAGAATGAAAGAAAGAGAGTGAGGAAACAAAGATGATGCCACATGCAGCTGGGCCGCGTAATGACAACGTTGGCCTAAGGCGACAAGGCAATTTGCATCTACAATCTGCAACAATACAGACTGCCTAGAGATTTAACACGGCTGGGACTTCAACGGCAGCTTTGCCGAAATTGTTGACCTGAACCCGAAGGCCGAATAGTCGTAAACAGTCGGGATAAAGGTGTGTTCAGCCTCGACCGTCAGCGGCCGGTCCAAAGTTCCCGTCATCTCAATGAACTCTTCAGCATATGAGGCCTGAGAGCTCTGTTTGGCGACTCTGTGACTCTGTCTCACGTGCCGACGCTTGAAAAAGGAACTCGGCCAGCCGCCGAATGCTTCTGATCCTTATGTCATTTCATGGCGGTCTGATATGGAGACATCGTGGTGCAAATAAGGTGCCCACATCTCCTCTGAAGCGCAGTTGTACACCAGCATAGGTCCTGCACCACTCGTCTTGTCTCAGTGTTGTCTCCTTTTTTGCGGCGTCCCGGTCTCGAGTAACGTCCGGGAGATGCTTGGACATTTGGATGCTTTTGGCCCTTGACATCACGACACCAGACCACACATGACCACACCCAAAGTGGCGGAGGACGCCAGATGCTGCAAAGCGCTCTGTTGTCACCTCATGTCACCTCCAGAGTTGTCACCTGGGGGAGAACTGGGCCATGCCCTTTTTTTCAAATCAACAAAGCAACTTCCTGATTTGGGGCCTGTGCTCTCGACTAGGCACCTTCTGGGTCTACAGCAAGTAACAAGATATTGCTAGCCTCGGTTGTGTAGCAACTGTCGCAACCTCGTAACCTGGCGTTGCGAATAACATTATTCACGTCTTCGCGTCTTTGCACGGAAAGTCACGTCTTCACGGCTTAACGTCATCTCACGTCTTCGTGTCTTCGCGCGAAAGATCACATCTTCGCAGCTTTGTGTCTTCGCACCAGAGCACCCCTACTAAACGGACATGGATGCAACGTTGTACAGTAGTACACACTCCAGCACGTACTTACAACACTGCTCAGGAGGTCCCGGATCTTTTGTTCTTGTTCAGCAGCCCTCCATGCCACCTGACTGCACCGAGAAAATTGAACGCGACGCTTCAATGTGCATTCTGAAGACCGCCGAAGCACACGGCCTGACGATCCAAGTTTGATCAACTGGATCAAAGAGCATGAGGTCAACATCCTCACCAGACATAAACACCGACACCGAAACACCGGAATACCCAGTCCGCCGAGGCCTCGGGCCGAAGGTGTATAGGTTGTCAGAACAGGCACCCCCCTCCAAATCCTCCCCCCAAGCCCAAAGCCACTTTTCGGCCCCCTTTTTTTGCTTCAAATGGGTACCCCCCCTAGGAGAGGAGGGTCCGCAAGCGGATGTCTCGCCAGGACCAGAGGCAGTTGCAGCCCATCCAGCAGGGCGCCCCCCGTTTTTCGCTTCCCCACTTCCCCACTCACCACCCCCCCCTACCCCCCCCCCCCCCCCCCCCACCCCCTACCCCCCCCCCCTTTTGTTGGCCTCAAATGCGTACCCCCTCTGAAAAACCGGGGTCCCCCCCCCACCCCCCACTCCCCCCACCCCACCTCCCCCCTCCCCCCCACCGTGCCGAAGAGTCGCCTTAAACCTTAAGGGGCCTGGCTCAACCCTACGATCACTCCAAACCCTAAACCCAAAAAAACCCTCAACCCCCAAGCGTGAACCTTGAGCCCTAAACTAACCCTCAACCCCAAACCCCAAACCATAAACCATAAACCCGGAACCCTCAACCCTCAACCCTCAACCCAACCCTTATTGCTTGGGGTCCAGCGACTTGGGCGCTGCGGAATCACCATGCTCACGCGGATGCGCTGGGCCGGGCCGAGGCGGGTCGCGTAGCGTTAAAATTACTTTGCAGAGTCCTGCTTCGCAAGAGCACCAATGCGCAGGTTCACCTGAATGTTTGCTGCAGCATGAGAGTACCGGAGGTCTTTACGGAGCTTCCTTTTAAGTGTCAAACAATTCCTGCGGGAAGGTCTGCCAATTTCTCCGTCTGCCTGCTGGGCACCGTCAACCTAGGCCCATCACAGCCCAATTCAATGTTGTCCTGTGATGTCCTGTGTGACTGCACAGCGACAAGATCTTTACGCAAGCCCAACACCTCGCCCTGCCAGCGCCACACGTGCCTTGGGCATCTTGGAACCCTGAAACGAAGCCATTCGCAGCCGCAACGCGTACCAGCTCGAAAGCGAAAAGAAGGGGCCGGGCAGGTGAAGACGAGGGGAGCTTGCCGGTAGTGCTTCGGTGGGCCTGGCCAATGACTCCATAGGGTGAGGTATGTGAGGTTGATGCAAAGGATATCTGAGATGTGGGCAGGGGCTGAGTTCGTTCCAGAGAAGTCGAAACCTCAGCACGCAACCATTGTTGCAGTCGGGCATCTTGAAAGTCTTCCTGGAATCAGCTGTGACTGGCATGCTTCAAGCGCCCCACTCCGCTTCGCTGAAGTCACCCTGTCATATAAATCAACCGGGGTCCGCCACCTGTACAGTCAT